TGTGGTCAGTGCTTTGAAAGAGACATGTAGAGAGAGCATATAAGAAGGACACAACCTAAGTTTGAGGGATCTGGCTAAACTCTGGAGCAGTGGATGACAAAGCTGACTGAGAAAAATGAGTAGTTGATGAGTCCTGAATACTAGTCTTTCTTCCCAGCGATACTATCAACTAAATCTTAAAGGGCAAACTCTTTGCTTTTGTGTTATCCAAAGTACTGGACATAGTACTACTCAAATTTTTCTTACTCTAAAGTATTAAGCCTTGCTCTATAATATTGTGATAATTGTTACTTGTATTATATGCTTTGAGGATATATAAGTATTGCATCTCGATCTTCCCTTGAGTGCCAAAAATCAAATACTCTACTTTGATAATATATGGGCCATCTGCATGTTTTCTAATCTTTCCATGTTGCCCTAAACTGGTCTTTGTTCATCCTTTTCTCCTTTGCTGTATGTCCAAGGGATAGTGACGTAATTGCTAGCACATTTGCTTTTAAATTTATGTCCCTTTGGCATTTAAGAATTTATAGTAGTTTGTATTATACTTAATAAGTTGCTTCTCAGTTGTATGCGCTGTATATGCCTTAATTCTAAGATCCTTTACAGCAAAAAGACTTTGTCACCTTTATGGGAGAAGGAATAAATCATTGTTTGTCCAGGATTTTCCCTATATATCTGTATGCCCTGATTGTCCACTGAAGTCAGCATTTGAAAAAGTCAAGGATAGCTTCTCTTTTGAGATTCACTGAATGCTTATTCTGCAACATTTGTGGTGTTTCCCCATGGTGGTGGTCTGATAACCACTTTATTGTAGTGATAACCTCTGGACAGTATTTTAGATTACAGAATTCCAAAAGCAAAAGGTTGGGGCGCCTGGGTGGCTTAGTCAGTTAAGCGTCCGACTTTCGCTTAGGTCATGATCTCGCGGTTCGTGGGTTCGAGCCCCGCGTCCGGCCCTGTGCTGACTGCCAGCTCAGAGCCTGGAGCCTGTTTCAGTCTGTGACTCCCTCTCTCTCTGACCCTCCCCTGCTCACGCTGTCTCTCTCTCTCTCTCCTAGAAATAAATAAAAAAACATTAAAAAA